GCTGCCGACACTGTACCCAAACCTCCATAAAGAAAAAAAGGGGCAGGCATGTCTACAGCACCTAGAAACTCTGGAATATGATCAAAAGGCTTAACTAACTAGGGATCTTTTAATCCAGTCAATGAAGTCAGCATAGAAAATCTCTAAATCTTAGAAAAACAAGTGGACATTGAAGACAGAAAGGTGCTTAGAACCCTAAATAGGCATGACCAGAGAAAAGTCTCTCCATGACTTAGTCATGATGTCAAAATAGAGAGCAGAGAAACAATTATCAAGAGCTGAAAGGGAGGACATAGTGGGCATGGCTAAGTTGCCTAACTGCCTTTTGAGCAAAAGTGTCCTCAGAATCCGTGTGACAATACCAGGCCTGGTGGCAGAGCTTGTAACATAAGAGCAAGGGAAGGTAGAGACAGGAGAATTACTGACACTGGCCTGCCAGTCTAGCCTAAGTGATGAGCCATAGGCCAAGGAAAGTCCCTGTCTCAAAAGAGGTAGACTGCATTTCTGAGAATGACACCCAAAGTTGCCCTCTGACCTGCACACATAGGTGAGCATTAGAGCAAGGTGAAATGGTAGCACCAGCTCAAGTACCAAAGCTAACACGTATGAACCCTGTCAAAGCCCTCATCCACAACCCACAAAGCTGAGACAGCATGGAGTAACGTAGCTCAGGCTCTGGAAGTAACTGCTAACCAAGAGTGCTGTATCCAGCACAGCAGCTGAGCGGTGGTGGTGCACACCTTTAATCCCAGCACTCAGGAAGCAGAAGCAGGTGTATCTCTGTGAGTTTTGAGTCCCATCGTGGTCTACAGAGTTCCAGGATAGCCAAAACTACACACAAAGAAACCCTGTGTCTCGAAAACAAACAGAAAAAGACCATAGACTCAAATGCAAGTGAAATGCTAACAAATCCATTTTATCAAGCCAGCCATAGCCAAATACAAAACTCAATTAAGATGTGGAAAAAAAAATAGAAAAACTAGACCAATATCCTTGGTGAAAAGAGATAAAAAGTTCCCAGTAAAATACTTGTAAATTAAATTCAAGAACACAATATAGAGATCATACACCATGACTAAGTTGGTTTCATCCCAGGGATATAGGCTGATTCCATTTAAATGTGTACCATACACAAATAGACCTGAAGACAGAAATCGTGTGAACATCCTGATAGATGCTGAGAAGGTCTTTGATGAAGTTTGGCATCTCTTCATGACAAAAGCCTTGAGGAACTGAAGAACAGAAGAAAGATACCTCAACATAATAAGACTCCGTGACAGACCTAAAACCACCATTACACTAAATAGGAGAAAACAAAAAAGCATTTCCTCTGACACAAGGAATGAGACAAGAATTTAAAACAGTGCTTGATGCCTTAGCTAAAGTAGTAGACAAGAAAGAGAAACGGGGGTATAAAAGGAAAGGAAGACATGAAAATTTCCCTTCTTGTAAATAGCATGATCCTAGACTTCAAAAGCCCTAAGATGTACCAGAATACTCTTTAAAACGATAAACATTTTGAGCAAAGTAATAGAATACAAAATCAGCACACAAAATCTAGCAGTAGCCTTTCTGTATACTAAAGGAAAAAATCAGAGAAAAAAAAAACCCATTCATAGTAAAAATAAATAACTTAGGAAGGAACCGGAGGAGGTAAATGACCTCTAAGATAAAAAGAAATTGCAAAAGATAGTAGGCGATGGGAAGACTTTCCACAGTCCCAAACTGGCCAAATTAACTTTGTGAAAATGACTATATTACCAAACGTAATCTATAGACTCAACATAAACTCCATCAAAATTCCGACATTCAGGGTGTGGGGAAGACAGAAGGGGATAGATATAAATAAAGTTTAATGATGCACATCATATATGTAGACATATGTATGCAAATTAAAACCATGTGTGTGCTACCTTTAACTTAATATTTTCAAAAACTAGCTCCATATAAACCAGTTGAGAGCGGGAAAGAGCAGAGAGAGACTGAGGAGTCTGAGTGAGCCACAGGGCGACTATCAAACAAAAGAAGATGCACATAATCGATCCAGCTCAGAGGAAGGGACAGCAATATTTGAAGAGACTGTATGGCTGAAAATTTCCCAAATCTGATGAAGATCTCAAAGTCACAGATCAAGAAACTTCACAAATCCTAGGAGAAGGGATGTTTGAAATACCAAGTCAGTGCTAATGGACTAGCTGAAGCTCAGTGATGAGGACGCCGTGACAGTAGCAAAGGGGGTTGGGGTGTGTAGCTCAGCAGAAAAGTGCTTGTTCGGCAAGAATGAGACCCTGTGTTCGAACCGTAGCACCACACCATGCACGCACACAGACACACACATACATGATACCACAAGCTAGCAAAGGGTTTTTTTAAATTCATATGTAGGGAATAAAAAACAACAACCGGTAACACCGTGTCAGAAGACATGAAGGCAAAACACAATGAATTCACCTTTACCTTGAATTTGCCAAAATACAAACACCTCAAGGGGCTTGAAACTGCCAAGCCTGGAATTCTATATCCAATAAATGTGTCTTTCTCAAATAAAGGTCTCAGACCAATAAATCTAATGAAGAAATTTCCTGAAGGATAATGTCTAATGAGAATTAAAAATAGACAGCCGGGCGGTGGTGACCCACACCTTTAACCCCAGCACTCGGGAGGCAGAGACAGGAAGATCCCTGACTTCGAGGCCAGCCTGACCTACAGAGCGAGTTCCTGGACAGCCAGGATTACACAGAAAAACTCTGTCTTGAAAAAAAAAAAAAAAAACCAAAAAGAAAAAAAGGAATAGACGAAGGTTTGCCGGGTGGCTCATTGGCACAGCACTTGCACAGCGTCCGTGAGCCACCGGATTTGACTGTCAGTACCACAGGGAAAAAAGAAAGAGAACAAAGGGATAGCCTGAATAATTACACGGCCAATAGCCTGAATCTAGGCCTAAAAATACCTGTACAAAACACTACGCTCAGATGGTTTCGTGGGAAAATTTTTCCGAGAACTTAGGAAAACAGCGGAAGTGTACACAAAATCCTTCAGAAAACAGATTAGAAAGGAACAGCTGCCAGCACCTGCCATGAGGAGTTTGTGAGATGGGAAAGCCGAGTGCAAGGAAAATGGAGCTCAGTGTGCCTTATGTGCAAAAGGAAAGAGCCTGGCATTGGGGCCCTCGCCTGTGCTCTCAGTACTTAGGAGACTGAGGCAGGAGCCCAGCCTGGACTACAGAGTAAGTCGGAAGCCATTCTGTGCTACACAGTGCAGTAAAAAAAAAATCTGTATGGGGGGGAGGGGCAGGAGGTGTGTTTGAGAGCTTCTTCAACTTAACAAAACATGTCTGTGAGGAATCAACATCGTACAGAAGGGTGAAAGGCCAAATGCCTCGTCTCTGCCTCTTGATTTTCATGAACAACTTTTTCACTAAAAGTTTAAAACAAAACAAAACAACCACATGGTTTTATCTTAAAAGGTGATCATTCCTAAACTTCTTATGGAAGTTTTCTCTTCTGTACTGATCCTTTAGATGCTCTTGGGAGCTTGACTTGGGCTCTCCATCATCTTAATCAACATCTTTGTTTTTCCAGAAGTCGGGAATTTTGCCCTTAAGACATCCTGCTGCTGTACTGGGTTGGGTAGAGCCCTCCTTCTCCATTATTCCCCTTTCCTTGGTAAGGGTAATAATCTTATAAGATGTTGTTTCAAAAGCAATGTCTGCCCGTGTAATGAGTTACCATGAAACCCCACTGAACTGAGTGGTATCCTGCATCCAAGACTCACAAGCATCCAGGCTTGTGAGAAGAGGGTTGGACATGGTGACCCACACCTAACCCTACATGCAGGAGGCCGAGGCAGAAACAGATGGAGTTTGAGGCCTGCCTGAACCTTACTTTGGGGGAAATTAGGGGGTAGGGGGTACCAGGGGTCATATAGCTCTGTAACAGAATAGAGACGGAGGTTGGAATGATGTAGCTATAAGCCAAGGGACACAAAGGGTTGCTGGGAGCTGGTAGAAGCTGGTGAAAGGCAAGGGAGCTCCAGCCTCTCAAGCTGTGTAAGGATCAAGTCTGCTGCAGTAGTCCATTTACCCACAGTTCAGTTATCCAAAGCCAACCACAGTCTAAAAATATTAAGTAGAAGAATCTAGAAAAAAATAACAGTTCTTCAAATGCATGCATTCTGAGTAACGCGATAAATATGGCAGCCCCCTATCCCACCTTGTCACCCACAGTGAGACCTGGCCCTCAGTCCATCATGCCACATACTACCCACCCATGTCACTCAGTAGCTGACTGGCTTGTCAGTCACTGTGATAGTACCTCAGGAAGCACTTGTTTTCCTTAGTAGCAGCCTCCAAAGCACATGAGTAACGAACGATGCGTTTTGGACATGCCAAAAGGAGCTATAAACTGCTTCCTGCAGGGACAGGTTCTGGTTTAATCAGCTAAGGAAAACCATGAGGAGGTTACCAAGGTTGAATCTTCTGTTTGTAAAGGGAGAGAAAGAAGTGCCTCAGTGTCAATGCCCTGCACCGCAGACGTCAGGATGAGAAGTTAACACATAAGACATAAGAAGCAATAAGTGTATGCCAATATGTAGAGAGGCCGAGCATGTAGGTCCTGGCACTGGCCTTGGTTCCAGGCGTCCACTGGGACCCTGGACATATGTAGGACAGGGGCAAAGAGGACATCTCAAGACATCAAGTTGTGGCGGTTTCTCACGGTGGCCCTTGCTACGCAGCCTGCTATTTTTACCTTTGCAGTGTGACAGCATTTACCATATTAATCCCCAGCGTGCTGTTTTCTGTCACGGCTGCTCCTCTGGAAAGCACACCCTGAAATAATGTCACTGTTGGTCAGCGTTCAGAATGACGCCATGACCCAAGCCCATCATTCCCGGCCCATATTCTATCTTTCTGTCTCATTTAACCTGCTTGGTTTACCTCCCTCAAATGTAACGCACTTCCCAGTTTTCAGATGCCTCTTTTTTTTTCCCTATTTTTACAGGTATTGGCTCAATAAGTACCGGGTTGATAGAAAAAACAAATTGCCTCAGCAAAGTGGCTATCCCTTGGTCAAAGAGATGGTTGCCGCCTCGTCTTCAAGTAAATTGGATTCAGCTTGGGTTTTTTTTTTTCCTTTTATATCTAAACTGTTAGCTATAATAATAAAGTTAAATTATTGCTCAGCTCAAATAAATTTGAACACATGAGGCTTAGAGGGCATGCTTCAACTTTACCAAAATTACTTCAGTAAACCTATTACATAGGAACTGAAGGTTTTTAAATTGGACTATTTTTTTAAAATATTTTTAAGCTTACTATGCGCCTTAATACGTTAGTATACAATTTGAAAATTTAAGGCTAAGCTTCAAACTGTGAAAAAGTAGCCAAAGCCAAAAAGGCCTGGAAACTGATGGGCAACATGGCTGAAAGAAAGAGAAACAGCATTTGCACTTCTCTCTCGGCCATTGTCCTCCTACGGTTTCTGTTGCTGTATAACACGTTAACACAACACGCACTTAACCTTTCATAGTTTTTGTGTGCCAGGAGTTCCGACGTATCTCAGCCAGTCCTCTTCTCACAGTGTCATAAGGCTTGCGATAACCTTGAGGCTGGAACTGGGGGAGAACCTAGCTTTGGTCTCATCAAGGTTGCTGGCAGAATGCTTTTCCCTGAAATCCAACTGTGAGTCAGCACATACATTGTAAACAGAGGTCAGCTCACAACCATCTGAGACTCCAGCTCCAGGGGCCTAACATTTTCTTCTGGCTTCCATAGGCACTGTATTCACATGTATAAACATAAACATACAGCTATACACACATGCACGAAATATTTTCCACAAAAAAAAAATGTTTAAAAGGCTGTAGATCATCATTCAAATGATTGTCGGCATTACAGCTCCCATTGTTTTCCCACTCGGCCCACTAAATTCCTGTTGTTGTTTTTTTTTGTGTGTGTGTGTGTGTGTGTTTCCCACCACAGGTCATCTTTCTGTTTCTAGAACAGAGAGTCAATCAGATAGTTTTGAACCATCCGAGGAGTGGAAAGCTGAAGAGGGCTCAGCTGCATCCTGGGAAAACGAAGTGGACAAACTGATCAACTGGACTGATGGTCTTAATGTAAATTCCTTGGACTATGAAGAGTAACACGCAAGGATTTTATACAGCGCCCAGCCATAGTGCTGCCTCACTGGAGCAATTTTGGAAGATGCTCAGAACCTGACTTCTGCTCTGTATCCTAACTGGTCTCATTTTTTTTCTGTAAGCACAAAATATAAGTGTTAGTCAGTGAAATTTGCTCTGGGCTTTTCAATCTCTCTTCCTGTTTGGAAATAAGTTAGTCAAAATTAGAGTGCTTCCTACAGTGGTCTGTCAGTGTGGCTACACATATTCCCACAATCCATAGGGTACTGGAACCAAGCTCTCAGCAGCAACAGGTGGATCAGGAAAAAAATGCCAAAGAAGAAAAGGAAGGACAGGCATTTCAGAGAGTGGACATAACCCAAGCAGAGGGACCTGCGACTTTGCCTCTACCCGCCTCGGTTCTTGTATCTTCTGTACTCAAGGAGGGGACACCACACCCACACATCCCTCACCATCCACTCACTGCTAACCATCTACTCTGTTCCCGACAGTTTTATTGCTTCAGCTTGTACATACACCATGGCTCTTCTATGACAAGATGCATCCCCGCCATAGCCTGCAGCCCTCCTTCCCTTGGCAAACTCTCTGAGTCAGACTTATCAATGGCAGCTGTCACTGAATTCTCTATTCCTTTAGTCCACGTCACAATTCTACATGCCGCACAGTAGGACCTATCCTCTGCTTATACTCTGTAAACTTAAGATTACCAAAGATTTCCGTGCTGTGTGAACCCGACAATGCTCACTGGGCCTCTCGGCCATACCTTTTTTTTTTTTTTTTTTTTTAAAAAAGATTGGTTTTTTATCTTTAATTATGTACATATATGTTAGTGTGTGGGTATGTGCATGTGTGGGTAGTCCCCAAGATGGCCAGAAGAGAGATCTGGGTCTCCTAGATCTAGAATTAGAAGTTGCCTTATGTGGGTGCTAGGAACTATTTTCATGTCCGTTGGAAGGGTAGTATGTACTCTTAACCACTGAACATCCAACTGGACTATACCTTTCAAAACAACGTTTTGTCGTACCCTCACAGAGACTTATTTGGGGCCTGTCTACCAATACATATCCACACATGCATGTAAGTCCAACTTGGATCTGGTTATTGGGCAATCTCCTGTATGTCTACGAAATATAAAACCATTCTGCATCACGGCTTCCAGTCCTGTGGTTCTTCTCTGGTTAGCTAAATGCCCCTGTTATTTAGAAGCGATATAAGAGAACAGAAAATTCCCTAGTCCTGTGACTCTTATGATCTCTCGCCCTTTTCTGTGAGGTCCACTGAGCCTGAGATGCGGGGTTGTGCTGTTGACATGTCAGTATGGGCCGGACACCGTACAATCAACTCTTCTCTCTATTTTGAACACTGATGGCTTTCTGTAGTGCTGTTAGCCATGTTAGCCAACTGCAAAGAGATGCTTAGTTTTGTTTTTGTTTTTGTTTTGATGAGGGATGAAAGCCACAGTTCTCTTTGAGAGTAAAGATAATTGTTTATTGTGCAGCTAGGAATTACAATGGTTTTTTTTTTGTTTTTTGTTTTGTTTTTGTTTTTGTTTTAGAAAAGTGGCAATAGTATATTCTTCCCCGAGCCCTATGGTATCACTAGTCAGAGGTCTACATTTCCGGACCAGGCATGATTTCCCTTCTGTTAAGAGCCCTACGTCCAGTTAGACAACTGCTGGTGACTGCCACAAAGTGGCACTATTGCACTTTAAGGACATCTTGCTGCTTTGGCTTCATAAGCATCACACATAAGTGGAAACGGGATTGCTTTCCTCCCTTGGCAGCTCGCATAGCACCTTCCAGGGCTACGAAAGATACTCCTCAGAAGGGGGGCTGTGGGGTCTATATCTAGCCAATGAAACTTCGTTGACAGCGTCTCTCACCTCCCTGAATGCCCTTCTCGAGTCAGAGCTTACCCACCTTCTCCACCACAGCTCCCCATCTTTGCATCTTTGTCTCCTTGGACTGCTATACGAAATGCCAGAACCTTGGTAGCTTAGCAACAATGGAAATTCATTCATCTCAGCTTTAGGGACCAGTGAGTGTTGTGTTGCTATGCAGCATCAGTGGTTTATCCACTCAGCTACAGATGGACTGGCAAGTCATTTCTAGTTTGACTGCATCCCTACAAAAGCTCCACTGGCAAATTCCTCTCATGAGTAGTGATTCCTCCTCCTTTAATCTCTTCCCCGAGTGGAGACTGAGCCCGTGCCTGTGCCTTGCTGATAGCTAACAGGGTATGGACTGTTGTGGGATTGCACTCCTGTCGCTATGTTAGGTTACGAAAGGTTCCATTTCAGCCAATAGTGGGGGTCTCCTGAAGGCTTTGAAGAAGACAGTTGTGATGGTGGGAAAAGGCCACAAGGCAAGGAACTGCCAACTGCTTCTAGGAGCTGAGAGGAGGGCAGAGCTGATAGTCAGCAACATGCTGAGAGACCTCAGTTCTACCACCTCAAGAAATGCTGTGAACAGCAGTGTAAACTGGAAAGGGCTTACGCTCTAGAAAGGAATGCAAACTGACCAAAACCCCTGCCTTGGCTCTGTGAAAGCCTAAGCCCCTCACACCAGGCCATGTCCAGAATTCTGATCTTGGGAACTAGAATATAATAACAAACTCTGGTTTGTGCTGTCACATTTATTGCAGGTTGTCATACAGTGAAAGAAAAGTAGCGTAACCTTTGCGAACATTTGAGATCTTTGCATAGACCTACGTTTTACTGCATTGTGGATAAATAGGAAGAATTGAAGTAGTTATTGAGAGAAGGCTTGTGTTGGAGCTTGTAGGAAACTGACAAACTATCAGTCAGTCATCTTACAGTAAAACATTTCTAGTGTCTCTTCATTCTGATCATCTCTTGATATACGGTCTTCTAAGCATCAGAATCTCCTTTTCCCTGAAGACTGGCCTGCTGCCCGTCTTTCCATTTGCTTACTTGAGGTGCTTTGTCTTCAAACACCCTGCTTTGCTTACTTTCCTATAATATTTTGAGTGTTCTAGGTCATAGCTAGCATGGTCATTGTAAGATCACAACCTGCAGACATGCAATTTTCAAACTAGTGGACAAACTAGCTTTTTCTTTTCATCATTTTACTAATGTCTTTTCAAAAGCAATTTTTCAAAACTTGATAAAGCACAATTATTTTTTTTCACTCATATATTATGTTCTTGGTGTGTTTGTGGTAGCTACTTACTTAATCCAGTCAACAAAACTTTCCTTTGTTTCTTAAAAAAAATTATAATGTGGGTTTTATATTCCATCTACATGCATTAAAAGATAACTTCAGTATATGATCACAAAGGAATTGATCAAATTTTATGCATTCCCTTTTCTTCCTTCTTCTCTTCCTCCTTCACTTTCTCCCTCTTCCTTTTTTCTTTCCTCCCTTCCTTCTTCCCTTCCTCTCTCCTCCTTTCCTCCTTTCTTTCCTCTCTTCCTTCTTCCTTTCCTCCTTTCCTTCCTCTCTCCTTTCCTCCCTTCTCTCCCTTCCTTCCTTCCTTCCTTCCTTCCTTCCTTCCTTCCTTCCTTCCTTCCTTCTTTGTTCCTCCTTTTCTTCCTTTCTTCCTTCCTCTTGATGATGAGCATGTACCCACAACACTTCTATTTCCAATGAGCTTCCTTAGACCTTTGTTGGCAGATGGTTATCTTTTGTATGTGTGGTCTATTCTCAGTCTCCCTGAACTGTCCCACCATCTGTCTATTTTCGTACCAAGAGCATGTTGCCTTGATTATCATTCTACTATGGAACTTAGAATAAGGTTAGCCTTTAATTTTGTTCTTTTTCAAATGTATTATGGCTATTCTAAGTCCTTTACATTTCCAAAGAGATGGGTATCAGCCCATCATTACCTAAATAAAAATTATCTTAGGGTTTGGGTTTAGAATGCATTTACTCCATAGGTCAGTTAGTGAAAGGTTGACACCTGAACTTAAGTATTGAGTTGTCCCACTTTGAATCCATTTTTGTCCTTATGATCAAATATCTCTTAACAACACTTTGTAATTTTCTATTGTTCACTTGTATATCTTTTGTCAGATATTTTTTCTGAATGTTTTTTTGGTTTTGTTTTAAATAGTGGAGGTTTTTTGTTTTGTATTGTTTTTAGTTTGCAATTTTCTTTTGCTGGTATATACATACAACTTCTTTTAAAAGTATAATTTTAAAGCAGCATTTTAAATGAAAATATAGCAATTGTTTTTCCCAATTTCCATAATGATTTTATATGTAAAGGTCTTTCTTGTTTTGAAATTATTCTTCTCTTTCTTCCAGCTCATTTTATATTAATATGTAATCTATATTAAGAATCCGATCAACGTCTTACTAAAGTTCTAATCTGAGCTACTGTCACTTCGTTTTGTCACTTCTTTGCTCATATTGAAAGGCTTTGGGTTTGGAGTTCAAGGGGGGGCACACTAAGCTGGATTGTTTGGGGGGATGAAAAGCTTTTTAGGAGAGTCATTCATGCTATGGATGGACAGACAACCGCATGGCAGGAGCTGTGGGAGTCCCTGCAAGCTCTGTTGCCAGCAGAGAAAAGATCCGTGAGAGGCAAGAAGGAAATCTGGTTCAGCGTGACTTTAGCTGGGCTGCTCCAAACTTGTAGTGTCTGACCTGCAGTGGACTATTGTTGACAAATTTAAGAACAGTACAACTTTGGAAAAGGGTTTCTTCTTACCAGTTTTCACAATAAAGCATTGAAAAGCACCTGTGGCCTCTTTCATAAGAGTGGGTCCTGTTGACTGAGAAACAATTCTCAAGAGTCTGGAGGACTGGGGTGAAGCCTAGCTCTACAGGATAACAAAAAATCACCAGGCTATTACCAACATCCATTCTAGCTTTCTGGGTGTAAAACGAGTACACACCGCTTCTGTTGAAGAGATGAGTGTGTAACCTTCCTGGTTTCTCTACTGCTATCTGTGAGCATGAGGACGGAGTGCTCGAAGGAAAGTTCAGGTTCCAACGCCAAAGATGAACAGTTAGCATTGAAGGAGCTCTGAAGAGAGT